GTTGTTTTTTGAAAACTAATAGCGACATTTTTTATTTCGTCACTAATAAAAATTAAAAAATTTGAAAATGGGGTACAATTTGAAATGGGGTACTATTCTTTCAAAATTTTTCTTCAATAACAATTCCCTGCGCATTTCAATAACCTGTTCAATAAAATATCTATTACAAATCAATATAGAAATCTGTTCATTTTCATAAACATAACAACAATTTTAGCACTAATCCACAAAATACAATATGAAACTGCATGCGGATTATAAACATGTCTCCTAATATCTACAAAAAACGTTTACTAGTATCCACAAAAATAAATATCAACCGCATGCGGATTACCAAACACATCTCCAATATCAAACAAAAAGCATGTCTACTAATATCAACAAAAAAAATATCAATGGCGGATTACCCACATGCCCTGTAATACCAACAAAATAGAAAATTTATAACGCAACCAAAATACATGCAAGGTAATATGAACAAAAACAAAAAATGAGCAACCATCTGCCCTCAAATTACCAAACATTCCATATCAAATCTCGAATCTGCAAAAAAAATGAAAAAACAAAAAAAATGCAAGTTAGACATTATTTACTTATCCATAAATATATAATTTAGCATGCATTTTTCGAATTAGTTTTCAAATCGGGAGTCTGGTGCAAGTTCCGTAAGTTTCATAACTTACATTAGTCCCTCCCGACATGTTTGAGGTGTTTCCGCCCGGCCGTCCCGTGCTATTGCACGATTTTGGCCCCCGAAAGTCTATTTTCAAGCTAAGTGTGAAAAAAGTGCAATTTTGACTTAGTTTTCAAACCGGGAGTCCCGTACTAGTTCCGTAAATTTCCACAACTCACATTGGTCTCTCTCGAGGTGTTTGAGGTGTTCCCCAAGCCGTCTAATGGCTGTTGCACGATTTTTGCCTCCGGTGGCCTGTTTTCAAGCTTAAGTGTGAAAAAAGTGCCTTTTTGACTTAGTTTTCAAACTGGGAGTCCTGTGCTAGTTCCGTAAGTTTCCACCACTTACATTGGTCCCTCCCGATGTTTGAGGTGTTCCCCGAGCCATCCATGGTGTTGCACGATTTTGGCCCCCGAAGGTCTATTTTCAAGCTTAAGGTGAAAAAGTGCAATTTTGGACTTAGTTTTCAAATCGGGAGTCCCGTGCTAGTTCCGTAAGTTTTCACAACTCACATTGATCCCTCCGAGGTGTTTGAGGTGTTCATCGGGCCGTTCTCTTTGAGCTTCAAACTTGCATTCAAATTAACATAGCTTGCATTTTATAACCCATAATTCTCATATACAACTACTAACATGCTACAAACACCAATTTACTACATTATGAAGCTCAAATCTTATGAATCAATCACATGCAAACCCAAATTATACCAACTTACTTCCAATAGATTAAATTTATGCATTCAAACTTCATATCTTCATCAATCATGCATGCATGTCAATTCTTGACTCCATTTCTATTACAAATGGTGCTTATAACCATGAAACTCAACAAAACCATGCTTGCATGTATGATTCAATCCCCAATCTTTCATAATTAACATGTTACATGCTAGCTTATGCAAATTCATGATAATTCTAAACATGAATGCATTCATTGACTCCAAATTCATCAATTACAACTTAATTCTTGCTCTTGGTTACATATTCTCTTTGAATTCACAAAATTACAAACTTAACTCATGAATTTATGCTCAAATACTCACCTAGGAGCTTCAATCTTCACAAATTCTAGCTAGATCTTTGAGTTTAGCATCCAATCCCCAAGCTTTGAGCCAACATTCATAATTTGAGCCCCTCTCTCTCTCTCTCTAGAGCAGTCTCTCTCTCTCTATCTCTCTCTAGAGCACATTTCAGATTTTGAGTTCACAAAATGAGGGACTTAAGTGTATATTGGCATATTTATAGGCTTGCTTAATCACATTGATTAAGTTTAAGTAATGGCACTCTAATTAACCATTCTGAATCTAATTATTTTGATCCGAATCAATTTTCAATTAAATTTCACCATAGGCTCTAAATATTATGCTAATCACAATGGCGTAATCAATTTCGGGTTCTGTGGCCGAGAAGGCCTTCAATTTTCAGTTCAAAGCACATATTCTAATAGATTTTCTTACGGTGAACAGATACAAAGCTAAAATCACATATAATCATGCAATTAACACCCAAATTCAAATTAAGCACATAATTACAAACAAAATCATCATGAATTAACATAGTACATGACACGGTTATTACAATAATTACATATGCAACACACTTACGCAAATCTCATTTACAAGTATAAGTGTAAAAAATACCTTTCAATTGGGTACATCCATCGATATTGTACGGGTCCTCCAAGAATAGCCTCACGAGGCAAATGAACAGCCAAGTGGATCATCACATCGAAGAAGGCTGGAGGAAAGATCTTTTCAAGCTTGCATAAAATGTGTATTATACGTTTCTCTAATTTCTCCAGTTCGCTCCGCCTTAGTGTCCTAGAGCATAGGTCTTGGAAGAAATTGCCTAACTCAACAAGTGTTGTGCTAATTTCCCTATCCACGTAACCACGTATTCCAATGGGAAGAATTCTTTGTATCAGTACATGGCAATCGTGGCTTTTTATGCCTGTTAGTGTACCATTTCTTGCATTCACTGATTTGGATATGTTTGCCGCATACCCATCTGGATACTTGACAGTTTTTAAAAATTCAAAGAAACCCTCCCTGTCTGCAGGTGTTAATGAAAAGATTGCTCGAGGCTTGACATATGATCCATCAGGTCGTTGTGTTAGCCATAGCTCTTTCCTTATACCCATATCTTCCAAGTCTAACCGTGCCTTGTCTGTGTCCTTGTTCTTTCCATCAATGCTTCCGGAAACATTTTCACTAAAATTTTTCTCCACATGCATGACATCAATGTTGTGTTGAAGTTTTTGCTTCTTCCAATAGGGTAACTCATACAAGATGCTTACCTTTGTCCAATTAGGTGCTTGACGGGGCCTTTTTCTATTACTTGGATGCTTTCCATATATGACACCTTTCACGTTGTCCAACTGGTCTTGTATCTTTTCCACTGGCAACTCTAAAGATCTCTTCCGTTTCTCAATCTTACCATTGTAAGCCCTACTCTTTCGCCTTTCTGGGCGGTCCTCAGGCAAGTAACATCGATGGTTAGTGTACCCCGTCTTACTTCTCAGAGATTCAAAATACGGTTTATCATTGCAAGTGTAACAAGAATAATGACCTTTGTTCTCCACCCAGATATGTAACCAAATGCAGGCTAATCATGTATTGTCCACAACAAAGCTGCATGCATTCGAAAAGTCACATAGGTAGAGGTGTCGTAAATCAATGCACCATTTGTCCATAAATCATTCAACTCATCCACCAATGGTCGCATGTAGACGTCAATATCAATCCCTAGTTGTGATTCTCCAGGAATAAGTAATGACATCAAAGAAAATGGATCCTTCATAACCAACCAAGGTGGCAAGTTGTATGGAATGAGTATGACGGGCCACAAACTATAAGAGTTGTTCATGTTCCCAAAGGGTTAAACCCATCAACGGCCAACGCTAGCCTCATATTTCGAGGCTCCAAGGCAAACTCGGGATGTTGTGCATCAAATTCCTTCCACTCATCACTGTCAGCGGGATGCCTCAATATCTCGTCGTCCACTCGTTTGTCTTTGTACCATCTCAGCCCTCTTCCTTGACATGTATAATCTTTTCAACCTTGGTGTCAAAGGAAAGTATCGCAATACTTTATGAGGGATCTTCTTACCCCTTCCACAATTAATCTTGTATCTAGATGTCTTACAAGTCGGACATTTATCTAGTGTTGCATTCTCCTTCCAAAATAATACACAATCATTTATGCAAGCATGAATGAGATCATATGACAAGCCCAAGTCACGTAGTATTTTCTTAGCTTCATAAGTTGACTTTGGAACCAAATTTTCTTTCGGTAAAAGTCTACTTAAAAACTCTAGCATCATATCAACTGACTTATTGCTCCAATGATTTGTTACCTTCATATTAAACACCTCAATCACAAACTTCAACAAAGTATAATTTGGGAACAACTCACGCTTGGCATCGGTCAACAATTGATCAAAAGTTCTCACTTCCTCCCCTTGGGTTGTATCAGTCGATTCCCCTCTTATTCGATCTTCCACCAAGGCATCAATACCACCTAAAATTTCATCACCATTGAGTTGCATCTCATCATCATGATAAGCCTCGTTTGAAACAAGGGGTTCCCGATGCTGGTGCCATATAGTGTAAGTTTACATAATCCCATATTTGAGCAAATGAATTTCCACATTTTGAAGATTTTGTCTACAAACATTCACACACTTTATACATGGGCACAACAGATTACCATTCTAGTCTATAACCCCCATTGCAAATTGAAGAAATAACTTCAACACATCATTATATGGTTCACTCATCCTTCCGTTAGCCGTCCTACCTAGGGCAATCCAAATTTTATCCATGTCTGATCACAAACGAAAGATTAGGAACAATATAGTATAATGTAGACTTGTGTATTTATGAACTAATTAAATTGAAAAATTCAATAACAACTTCACCAAATATATGTCCAGATCTTTAATGAAGATTCTTATACAAGTTCTAATGTTATATGCAAGTAAGGAATAAAAACTAACAAAAATGGTCATTATTGATTTTAACATTCTAACACCACCATAAGTTCACCCTTTCCTTCTCCTTTGTCGTCCTTCTTCGCCGTTCCCTTTTGTCAGGACCCAAACCGGCCCCTAAAAGTTTAGGCCATGACGACCTGTACTCCGACCTCAAAAACAAAATTTTCAAACACATTTTATCCAAAAATGAGGCCTAAATTGGAAGAAAATAAATGATAGAACGTCCATTGAGTAATGCATATATGCTAGGATCATTACACATCTTATCATAGATGGAGAAGTCCACCTGTACAGTTCATATGGATACAAGACCAAGCCATGTCGGTACGTACAAAGAGTCATAGCCCAAAAATTTCATAGTCATAAAATGTTTAACAAAAGTCACCAAGGACTTAACAAAAAAAAATGTCGCATTAAAAGGACTCCTCAAAAGACAAAAGGCTCCAACTTTGGAGGCTTAACAAAACAGGTCCAATAAAGACGCCTGAAGTTGACCTAAGGCTGGCCTCCAAGCTGATCACCTACATAAACATATATAAATGCGGAGTGAGCAAGGCTTAGTGAGTAAGAATAATGTAATGAGGTTAAAGTGAGTAAGCATGTGTTTGGAATAATACATAATGTTTCCATATTTACTCACAATCACATTCCAGAATGGCCTCAGGACCGTTCAATGTAGAAATCGGATAAGGGATCACTGCTGTGCGTGAAGCACAGCAGTGACTGTGGTGTCTCTATTTGAGATGTATTATAATCTTATTTTTATGATCTAAACTGTTCATTTTGTAGGGTTTGTTGAGTACTTTATGCCTACCAAAAATCATATTAATCGGATATCAAAAATTATATGATCAACAACCAAAAAAATAAATAATAAGTTTTATTTTGAGAAATAACATAAATAATATGCAATTCGATCATATAGTTTTTGATATCCGATTAATATCATTTTTGGTAGGCATGAAGTACTCAATAAATCTTACAAAATAAACGATTTGAATCATAAAAATAAGGTCATAATACACCTCAAATAGAGGTACCACAGTCACTGCTGTACTTCACGCACAGCAGTGACCCCTCATCCTAATAAACAAAGGAAGTATTAACAAAAACAAACAAACACAAAACCTCGGTATCTGATACATTAATCAATTTACTCTGCAGATTATTATGATTAATACAAAAATCTTAAATCATTTTAAATTTTTTTTGTAAAAATCGATTTCTGAAGTAACAAAAGGGATGAACCCTTTTAAAGGAGAATCTGAAACAAAATCAGATTATTTCTTAACTATTTTCTAATAGATACACAAAATTATAAAAAAAAAATAATACTGTAATAACAAATAATAAGAAATAGAATCGGACTCAAACATAGATTTAGGTAAAAAAAAACTTATATTGAAAAGTGCTCATCGATTTAAACAAAATACAAGAAAAAACCTGTATTTAATCGAACAGAGATTATAATTTAAAACAAATTATTTCTATACAAATTAAAATAGTGAGATTTTACAGAATCATATAAATTCTGGATAAAACAAATTGAACCAACAAATACAGTAGACTAATAAATAAGACAATTCTATATAAAATAGAACTCGAATTTGTCTTAAGATTATAAGAATAATCTCTTATGTGTACGGTGTGAAATATGTAATCATTGCATCAAATATATTACCAAATTATATTTTTAAAAAAATATAAGTTGAACATAACGTAAATTATTTGGATAAACCAAACAATATACAAAGAACCAGAAAGACTTGCGAAGATGTAGAAAATTTACAAATAGATTGTAAAATCTGGAAACAAAACCAAATGTGATCGAGGCTTGTGTTGGACACAATTTTCTTAAGATTAATTTGTCCTTTGCTATGGTGCTCACGAGTTTTTGTCGAACATTCGTCTCCCAGGATACACTGATCGAGCCTTGCAAAAGCAGTACTACCACGGCACATCTACTGAACCTTACTGTACAAAATTCTCTTACAAGAAAGACAAAGTGCAAGAGGAAAGAAACGCAAGATGAATTCCGTGCAAAATGAATGCAATGGGGGCCTATTTATATGGGTGAATTGGTGACTCTTCAAATGGTCATAGTGACTTTTCAAAAGAGTCACCTATTTTCCATGAAAATGTGCAATTGAAAAAGACATAATTGCTTTTTCAAAAGAATTCGAATTCTGAATGGAATTGTGTTTAATTTTGACTCAAAAAATTAACAAATTTATCTAAATAAAATCAAATTTTAAATTAAATAAATGTTCCCTTAAAACCATTATCAAATGGTGCACTTTGGAGTCAATTTCTTATTCAACTATTAATGGTTTCCAAACCATTTTTCCAACAATACAGACCCATGTATGTGACTTTCAGTGACACACCTCAATGGAAAGGCTCCCTCAATGGCAACTATTCAACAGCTGCAACATACCAAGCTATATTAAATGAAGAAAGAGGGGGAGTAGACTGGTAGTGGCTATGGAAAATAAAGGCTCCTCACAAACTCAAAAGTTTTCTTTGGCTCGTCATGCATGAGAGGCTTCTAACTAACCACATGACGCTCATTAGAAACCTCTCAAACTCTGAGTTATGTCCCAGGTGCCAAGCTAATAGAGAAAATATGCATCATCTACTTACAGGCTGCCTTAAAGCTAAGGCAATATGGCTAAACCTCAAAAACATTGGCTGGTGGCAGCACAGTAACAACACTTCTCTGCAGGAATGGACCAAAATAAATTTGAGAAGCAAGGACCAAGTGAATAACATTCAGTGGCCTATAGTGTTTTTGACAGCACTCTCGATCATTTGGAAAGAGAGGAACAAGGAAGTGTTCAAAAACCTATCCCAGCATATCCATATCATTGTTAATTCCACCCTTAAACAAGCCATGGAAACTCAGGAAGCCTTCCAGATCATCCTGAACCCAAATTTAAGAGATCTTAAAACTAATGATGTGGTCTTGTCCCATTGTAGGTAAGCTCAAGCTGAACACGGATGGAAGCTCCAAAGGAGACCTTGGACAATCAGGATATGGAGGGTTGCTTACAGATGAAGTGGGAACCTAGGTGTGGGGGTACTATGGCTACCTAGGCAATTGTACAAATCTGGAAGCTAAGCTGTAGGGCATCTATAGAGGATTAACCATTATCATGTAGAAGGGGATGACCAGTATTGAAATCGAGACAGACTCTGAGAGAGCTATGGAGCATATTCGAGATGGAGCTGAAGTGAACTCACCTTATAGATCACTCATTGAAGATGCTAACTTCCTCTTAAGGAGATGTCAATGCTCTATCAAAGCCATACCCAGGGAATCTTACCAAAGTGCAAATGCTATGGCCAACTTAGGAGTCAACCAACAAGAACATTATAGCGATCCTGGTTGTTCCTTTACTGTTCTGTTGTATTCCGGACTCGGTTCCGTGGAGTTGGTAATTGTATCTATCTTGTTGTCGTTTTTGAATCTGAAAACAAGTTTTCGTCCCTGGAAGTGGGTCTTGGCATGGTGACCAAGCTGTGTTCAGATGGGTGGTCATGGTGTTTTCTCGGTTTGGTGTAGCAGAATGTTGTCCGGAGTGGGTCTTGGCTGGGTGTTGAGAGTCTAGCCGCATGTGGGTTTCTGCTGGGCATTGGGAGGCTTTGGGAGTTTAGCAGCTTGGTGATGACAGGCAATGGAGTTTTTCCAGCCATGGAGATGGTGGCTATGGAGTTTTTCCGGCCAGCGATCTTCCTCGGTAGGTGCAGAGGTGCGTGCAGCAGGTTGGGGTAAGGTTTAGCAGTAGCAGTAGCAGCTTGCGTGCATAGGGGTATGATTTAGTTGAAGCTGTGGACGTTGTCAGGCGTGGGGCGTAGCTGTGGACGTTGGGAGTTGAAGCTGCATAGGTGTATGATTTAGATTTCAAAATTTGCAGGTGGGCGGCTAAATTTTGGCTTTGTCTTTGGGTTTTGTGGGTTGATTTGTGGGGATTATTGTATTTTTATTGTTTTTTTTTTCTGGTTAAGTTCTTCTTAACTTTTTTGTTCAAAGAAAAAAAAATTCGTGAGGCCAAGGGGTTGGTTGTATGGATGCGAGTAGCAATAGTAGGGGTATTTTGTACTACTGAATTTCTCTCGATGCATGTCATCTTCCTGTACCTTTAATTTCATGCTTTTAATGAAATTTTCTTTTGCTGATAAAAAAAAAAAAAGAGTAATGTTTGGAATTATAAAAAATATATATATATCATGAAACGCTTCATGAAATTTTTTTATCTTTTGAATAGTGTGTGCATTTTATTATATGTGTAATCCAAATGTGAAAAATCGTAACAAAGTATTTTATAATTTTTTTTTTTTTATAATTCCTAACATTACTCATCTAAAATTATATCACATCATTTTATTAGTCAAGGCATAACTCATAGATAAGAACTTTTTTTTTATTTTTTAGGATTGGGAAGAAAACCTTCATTGCAAAAACTGATAAAAGATTAAATCAATCTGGTACAATGGTATTACAAGATCTCAAAAAGTGATAAACAACTTTCATAGAAGAAATGATCCAAACC